AAGGTGGGTGGGGCTATCAGAGTTCTTAACAATGGTGACTAAGGCTAGACAGCAGGGTAGATAGAGCTAACCTCCAGTCTGGTGCCAACAACTCTCCTCTGTTTCAGTGCTTCACCCACCAGTACCTCGGCTGGAAGATCCGTGTTGTGGATGAGTTCACCTCAGGAGCAGCTGGGGTCCATGCTGGCACGCTGGCTGTCATGGGGGCTCTTGTTGCTGGAGCATTGTCTGTGTTACTCAGCCACATTTAGAAGCATGTGTCAGACACATGTATGTACATGCATTTTATTTCTACACTGGGGTACAGTGCTGTCATGTGCAATGGTTAAAAAGGTAAAATACTACTGTCACGCAAGTGTTGACTACTGGTGTACTGTGGACTAGTTTGCCCCTCTGTCTTCAACAGATATATAAAGCAGCAGAATCTTTTTATAGTTTATATATTTAGCATTTTAGTTTCAGAGAGTAGTTGTGTATGGTTGGTTTATTGGGGTTCCTGTAGGCCTTAACCCCAGTTCTGCTTGCGATGCTTCCAGTACAAGTTAATGCCAATCAAATGTTGTAGAAATAGCTGTATACTAGTATTATATTGGGGCAGTATTAACTGAGTTAAATAATTGTTTTAACTTTAAGATGAATGACAAAATGATTGGTGAGAAGCCTAAATTCTATTGTCTGTTAGAAATGTTAGGAAAAGACTTTCTGAGTGTATATAACGTTATATGTCTAAGCATATATATATGTAGATGTGAACTTTTGTTTAGTGAGTGAATCATTAAACTAAAGGGGATTTTAAAAAATTGCAGATATACTTGTAGCCTGTGAATAGTGGTGTGTATTTTGTATCTTTTAGGTCACCTTAAATCATTAGTCTGAAGATGGCCATTTCAATTTTAAACACTTGTGTGGATTTTATTTTGGACTCTCAATAAATGTACACTGTAAATTACTTTGATCCTGTGAGAGATTTTTTTACACCAATGTAATTCACATGAATGGGATGCCCTTTATCTTGTATCTGTAGTTTCAATTATCTGAATAGTTACTAACCAATATATAACAACAGTAGACAGGCTCTGGCAAAATCACAGTTTTGAGGATTCAATTAAGGAAACTGAAAACTTTATTCCAAAGATGTTTTGAGTACACTGGTTTTAAAACATCCGTATTATGTATGTCCATCAACCCTAGAGAACTGTATTCTAAGGGTGAGAATGTGCACACGGTACTAGGATGTTAGGTAATATTCATATATACACAAGAGATGAGAAACTGAAAAATCAATCTGCAATCTTATGCAGTAACTTGAAAATACTGAGATGTACGGTTACAAACTATATGAAAGTGAGTTTTTGGACTTTGAATTCTTTAGTTAACTTGCTAGATGGTGAAGGTCTCCTTGTCGATGTCCATGGGGTCCAACAGCTCCAGGTCAGGAACATCGTCCAAACAGGCCTCCTCCTCAACAACACCTCCAGCTGACACACTGCAGAAACCAACATCATTTAAGATGTTAGAACACTGCAAACTGGTATATTCAACATGGCTTTATTGGTCTGTCACAGCTGAAAACAGAATTAAAAACAAAACTATCTATAATACAGGACATCTCAATACAAGAGACCACAGCGCCAGGTGTATCCATCAAAATTTTGGATCACGAAAGTCATGGAAAAATAGGATACAATGCCATACCTGACTTGACCCATATCATGATCAGGATCCCAGTTATGAAGTTTTTTGCGCCATTCCTTAATCCGTCCATCCCACGCACGTCGGCTACACACAGCAAACTTAGTGGGAGTCCACGGATCATCCTTTTTACGGCCATGTCTGAAAGAAAAAGATGCATTGACATCTCTTCTCAACCTGCCACAGTATTTTCAACAAAATTGGCCTGAATGTTTGAGAACCTCTGGTATGTTTGAGGTACATGTAATTTGTCTTGCATCTAGTCTTGTCTAGTCATTCTCAAAACAAAGGATGACATAAAAATTATTTCCATACAAATATCCACCAACTTGAATAGAGCATAAAACATAACGATAGTATTTGGACTTTTCAATCCCCATTTTCTTACACATTTCCCAAGAAATGCCCACCCTTACACGTTTCTGTGGTGTCGATT